TCTGGGCATTTTGAAAAATGCCTCTGGCTTTAACTCGTAAACCCTTCGTAGTATAACGCTAAAAATACGAGACTATGAATCTACGGTACGGATAACCCCATAGACGCAATTTCATCAAAATCTGAGAGGTAGGGTGTTATGGCTTGGTCGATCTGTCGTGGAACGCCCCATCTAATCATGGAGGAGAATCTAATCTTATCTTAAATATCTAATCTAAACATCTAATATAAGCATCTAATTTACTAAAACACTAATTAATATTAAAACATTCGATGCTATTCGATAATTAAACTAGATAAATAGATATTCGATAATGTAACGTATCCATCAAGATTCGCGGTTGTGCATTGCATTCCTTTCTCAATAAAGTTGTGAATCTTGGAAACTGAGGTGCCATGGTGCCAGCGTTACCAAGGTGATTGGTAGACAAATACAAGAAGCCAAATCGAATGTGTTCTTCATTTCACGCCGTCGTGAAATGAAATTCTCGACCAATCAAAACGTTCCGTTGTTTTGCTGATGCTGCTTGCTTAGCAAACATTCACAAGAGATGCCGAAACTACCCCATGGGGGTAGTTTGAGCTGGTGAAACTGGATTATATCCCATGGGGTAGAATGGAAATCTACCCCATGCCGAAATTACCCCACTTGGTGAAACTGGGCCGAGTGTGGAGGACGCTGAACAGGCCCTTCGGGATGCAGATGCCCAGCTTGTTGTATGTAGCTATTTCAAACGTAATGTTAATTTTATCTTTATGTTGAACATTTAAGATTCTTGACTGTTACAGGCAACTTGCCAACTGCAATTTGTATTGTGGGTTGTTTTTTGTGTGTTGCAGTCTACTGGATATGCATTTAAGATAAGTATCATTATTTACAGTACCTATTCCACTGGAACTTATGCCCTTTTGCTCCTGAGCCATTATCCATGTGCCTTGCACATGACAGTGTCCATTTCAAATGAAGGCTTTCAGATTCCTTGGAAGTTGTGTAGCTGTATTTAACATGACTGTACAGCTATACGACTTTTTGGAATTTCGGCCGTCATGCGACGAAACTACCAATTACCATTCATTGCCTACCTAATCCATTTCTGTCAGGCAACGGTGGATGGCATGTCTGTCGAGGAGATGCGTGCCACCATACTGGAGATGGCGCGCACGCACCCTCCCCTCCAGTGGCGCTTCCTGGGGTGCCGCCTCCACCCGTCGGCTCCTCCGCCCACAGGCCCTCCCGGTCCATCCGTCCCCGATCCACCCGAATCACCGGACTGGTGTGTCTGTGGGGGGTGAGTATGCACACACGCACTATTTGTGTACACCTATCAAAGTGCTTTATTGAATGTCATCGACAAAGGTATTTGAAACCAGGATGAGTTTTTTATCTTTGTAGTTAAAGACGAAATAGAAGACACACTCTCCAGCATCATTCATCTTTGAAGTTATTGATAATCATATCTCCACTTATAGAGAATCGCATGTCCTCTTCATAACTGTCATAGTCTGGACACCTTTCCCCGTTCTAGCTTACTAGTTGCTAATATTAACCCAAAATGTGATTCTTAAGTATTAGTTCAGTTTGAATAACACATTAACTTCTAGGGGATAGGCAAAAACATGCTAATATGGTACTTTCTTCCGTCTGTTTTCAACAGATGTAGAGGGATGCCGGAGGCGGCAGATCGTATCTGCTGCAATCTCTCGGGCCATGGTGGCGACAGTAGTTTTCGTGTGGTGCAAATATGCATGTCAGCTACTCTAGCGACTAAGGTGTATCAATGAACATAAGTCTAACGAACAGTGCCTGTCTAAGAGAGACATCCTGTGTGTATATTCAGTTTGGTAATCAAGTCTGACTACATTTAGGCAAAGAGTAGTAATATCAGCCTTCAACGGAGAGCGCAAATAATAAAGATTTACGTCATGTACATATGACTAAATATCTCCATTTATAGACATTGGACACTAAGGTAGCTTATCAATGAAAATAAATCTAACGAACAGTGCTTGTCTAAGAGAGACCTTCTCCCGCAGGAATGCAAACTGCTGACGCAGACGGCCACTGTGGTAGCCGTCGGCATGCTCTACCACGGCGAGCGCGCCGCCACCAACCTGAACCTGGACCAAACGGAGGCGCTCAACCGGGCCATGCGCTGGCACGCGTACCGCAACTTTATCCTGTGGTGGTAAGTAATGGCAACATAGCTGGCCAAAGCGTAATTCGCAAGCTAAGTAATGAGACTCGAGCCACATATTTTTACACACTCCTTAAATGACATGGGTTCGTGACTGGTCGGCAGAGGCCTTGTCAAGTGGTTTGACACCCCCTTCAAAGAGCTGATTTTGCGGCAATTTTGTCTTCCTGACATCGTTGTGCGAGATTATATAGTAAGAAGGTATATGCACTCCGTCTGAAGTTTTTTTTCGCTTGGAAAAGTTATTTTTGTTCTCTTCTGTTTAAGTAGAATTATTGAAAACGTGTTAAAAGTGCAATTCGTTAAAACAAACATTAAAGAGTCAATCATTATAATATGCTTCCATTTCAGGTGGGGTTCACTCGGCCGTGGCAACCGGCAACGCATACCGTCCTGCGTGCTGTGGGCCATCCGGGACGCGTATTCGCCAATTGTATTACACGAATCGGCCAACCAATAGCTTGCCTCCTGAGTGACGTCAGCGTGGCGTCATACTTTCGGTCCTCGCCCTGGTGGCGTCTATTGAAGCTAGGTTTTAAGTTATTGACATTTAAGCTACATGGGTTACGTTATCGCCGTGGCGAAGTGGTTAGAGTATCGGACTGACGATTCGGAGGTAGGTGGTTCGAATCCACTCGGCGACTTCGATTTTCGTGTCATCTGTCATTGTGCGTTTTTTATACATTTGTAACGGCGTGCACCTAAGAAATCAGACGTAGGCATTCTTCTAATGAATATGTTGCATAAGATAGATATTTGCAGTCCAACCGATTGGTTCGGTTTCGGTATTTTCCAATGGTCTTTGTATTTGGTTTGGTAGCGGTGTTCTGATTTTCTGTGATTGACATCACTAATGCATAGTGCATACTATGCGAACGTAGCCAATGGAAAGACAAATGGTGCTGGGCGATGGCCATTCATTGATCAATATTTCTCACTGCCAATGGGTGATAGCACGCAGCATTGACAGGGGCGGCGCTGACCTTTTGAAAGTAGGTGGACACTTGGCAAGGTAAAGTACCTAAAAGTAGCGAAACCTAAGATGAAAAGTAAAAATCGCACGCTGGTAAGCAGGCTATTAGATAGCTTTTCGTGTAAGAATCACCATGCACAAAAAAAGTTCGGCATAGCTGTTAGCGTAATCACGGGACGAGATAATCAGTTTCCAGCCGTCAGAGCGTCATCTATAGGAGCTATGCCCTAACTATAACTTTTACATTTCAGCCGCCAGGGGGATACCTAAGTCCTCTTACTTGGAATCTAGTTAAAGTCAAAAGATTTATATTAGACGTTTATGAAGATAACTTGGGACTGGTTGTTAAGTTGCATGCTCACGGCGGGCTGTCATCAATTTATCTCTATACATGTCTTATCTGATCGATGAAATAATACAGGAATCCGTTGTCATTCGAGTGTGTTTCATACCTAATAGCTCTTCCGACTTTGACGAATATCGACAGTGCCGTAACAAAATTGGTAGTTCAGGTATAGACTGCAACTGCAGTTCTTTTGCAACTTATTCCTTAATCAGATGACTTGTCAGAGATTTATTGGGCGTACGATATTGGCGTGCGAACGTAGGGGCCAAAAATGCGCGTCTACGACCGACTTCTTTTTTAGAAAAAAGAACCGCTGAAGCAAGAATCGATCCACCGACCTGTCGTCCATCACACCGAGACTCTAACCACTCGGCTACGGCGACACATGCATGTCTGATAGCCATATACAATGCAAAAATAGTCTCAACTCAAATCTAGCCTCAATGCATGCATTGTCGCGGCGGATGGCTATGACGTCGCACTAGAGATGTCGCTAGTTGATGGGCCGATTCGTGTAATACAATTGGCGAATACGCATCCGGGACGCCTTCCCAAGTCCCACGGGCCAGTACGTCGGCTTCCGCGACGTCCTCCAGGGACTCTAAGGACACCCACGGCGGCCAACACCCGGTGCGCAGCAGCACCGCTTTAACCGCCCCTTGTTCGTATGTTTGTGTTTTGTACTTACTGCAAAGATGCTATTATCATCGTATGTGTTAGTGATGTGTTATCCATGGACTTACGGGGACCGTAAATAATACATGTAATTTGATTTTCTGCAGAGAATAATGATGTATTCAAGCATTGCTTAAGCAAAACACCTGACCCGTCATATCACAGCGCCGTGGCGCATTCATCGAACATAAAACGTCACCACACGCACTTGCACACTTCCAAAATCAAAACGTTTCTCGACCTCGACAGACAAACATTGTGACAGAAAACGGCCAACTTATCCTCTCAGTATAAATCTCCGAAAGTAATGAGACTCGGCAGTTAAAGGGACCCTCCCACCTTCAAAAAAGTTTATGAATTGGCATGAAAGTGATGTCGCTCGGTTCAGAAAGAGTGAAAACGAATATCTACCAAATTTCACCGAAAAATATTCACCGGTTTTCAAGATATTAGACTTTTACTTCTGTTTACTTTTTTGGGATCTCCGCTGTTTCTAGCGACTTTATTTTAGAAGTGCGGCGTTTGCGGCAGATGTTGCGCGCAAATAGCATATACCACCGCGTGCTACAAAACGTTTTAGTCAAGCATTTAAAAATCGTTAGATATCTGCGCTGACGTCACACATTCAGAGGGGTATTCCTAAGCATTAGCCCCTCTGAATCAAAATGCTGCAATTTTGAAATTCAATATTTCCGATTTAAGGCATTTCTCGATGTTGTGAGTGCCGAAACCGGTAATTGTGAGCCAGGGACCCCATTTTGGCTATCTCAACTCAAATCTAATGTTAAGGTGGGAGGGTCCCTTTAAGGCAGTTAGATGGTGCGCCGCTGCTGGTGCCGCTGCCACTCGAGGCGCATGTCCTCCGCCTCCTCGGGTGTAGGCTGCGCCGCCCCCCGGTGGACGAAGCGGCTGAGCCGGCGGCAAGTTTCCTAAGTGTGGAACTGCCCATACCTAAGGTCTCTGATTGGCGTAAGCTTCGCCAAGATGACGTTACAGGCTGTGACGTCATGGCTCACAGTCGGCTGACCAATCGCTGCTCGATTATAGGCTAGCGGCGCGCGGCACTAGCGCCCCTGGTGTTATTATGGGAAGTTGAGCAATACATTGAAATCTAATGCATAGCTTGTGTTGGGAACAATTACGTATTACTAAGGCGTCAATGTCTCACAAATTAATTCGTCCATGCTCCTCAAATTTTGCAAAGTGACCTTATATTGTGCGTCATAAGGTACTACGCTTCAAACAATCAGCACACAGCACCAGCCAGGCACTGTTACAAGTAGCGAGCAGTTGAGTGGCGGCAGGTGGCGCTACCATCTCCAGCATCGGTCCAGATGGCGTCACTCACTATCCGCACTATAGATCCGTGCGCACTACCTGCTAATAAGATAAATAATAAATCCGCTAATAATCTCGCTAATAAATCTGCTAATAATAAATCCGCACTACCTGCTAATCTGTGTCCTATTGGTGTCAAACATCATTCAACGCCGACAGGCAGTATCACCAGCCGTAATACTGAAGACATTTACTCAATGCTGAAGCGAAACGCAGTGCACAAACCCCACCGTCAAAACTCAAGCACCTCGTAGGAGATATGCTTCCAAGGTGGGCGAATGCACGAACGACAACTGAAATAACACCGGTTATATATTCACGTAGAACAAGTTGCTTTTCCCTAACTAGGGAACTCGCTAAGATTAAGACTGGCTAAATATTTACGCAGGATAACTGGCTCCACCTCTTCGCCAACTTAAGGACCCGCCAATCCATGCACCTAGCCGCCAGCGCCAACTGATGACGTCACTCGAACGGGCGACGGTATGAATCGACCCCCACCGGACACGATTTGGTAGCCGAGGTCTGTGACGTCAGCCGGGCGTGAAGTTTTCCCTTCACCATAGGCTTCACACACAAACCGGCCGAAGTTCATGCCAGGATAGCCCGGCTTGAAAGTGCAAAAATGATTAAATTTTGCCCTCAATAGATTCATTGCTTCATTTTATAACTAAAAACGTCCGTTATTAGGACTCAATGAAGGTAAAAAGTACTCAAAATCGAAGTTCAAGAAGATGCTGTCCGAGCACAATCTGGTAACATCACGTGACCTCTTTTAAGCAGAATGTATATAATTCAAGGATGTTATTACACGATTGTTGCCTAAAACATCATAAATAATACGCTTGTAACATTTATTGCTTCTGTTTAAGTCATAACATTGCAAAACGCAAAGTTTATCATAGAAGTCACGTGACCAAAGGTATAGCAGGGGTTGGGACAAGCACTCAAAGGATTTCAAGTTTTTTAATTAAATTATATAAGTTTCATGATGAAATTGAAAGAATGTATTTTTTCCTAATGAAATACAAATTTCCGTATGTAAAATATTTTCCTTATGGGCGAAATTCTCCATATAAGAAATGTCAGTGACGTCACCAGGGCTTTACTGGGCTTTACTCAAAACATCGGACCTACCTGTTTCTTATAGGTATCTTGGTATGAATAGTTCCACACTTAGGAAAATCGCGAGCCGGCGTGGGTCGTCCTCGGCCAGCGGCCGCTGTCCCAGCACCGGCCCGGCGCGCCGCCGCTCCAGCATGTCGCTGAGCAGTCTGGCGACGTATGGGTGCGACTTGGCCGCTACCACACGCCTGGGCTTCATTTGCCCTCTGGCGCGGCTGTACACCATCTCCAGCCTGTGAATGCGAGATGCTTGATTTGTAAGTTTTGTTTTGTTGTTTGTCACGTTCGCTCACTGTCACAACAGCAGTCTAGAATAGCCATTGTTTTGATACACACTAAGTTACACGAGTGAGAAAGCAGTGGACAAGTCGCGTCGTGTGAGATGAGCGGCAACCTGTGAACGTTGCCGGACGGCGCCAGTGAAAATGAGCCGCCCTTTTCCGCATAGAAACAATGTAATATGGATGTTTAATGACGTGCTCGACATGAGTGCACAAAACCTATGTTCTTGTGAATAAAATATCAATTTGAAGTTATTTGCTTTAATTACGAAGTCACCAAATAATTGCACGTGATAGAATATACGCTTGCTAAAGCGTTCCGATAGGCTCCAATGTTACACTCGGCGCGGCAGTGTTAGGTGGACGGCCAGCTTTAATTACGCATCTCATTCCCGCGTTTTTCATTGTGTTCTGAACAGGGGCGGATCCAGAAAATCTCCAAGGGAGGGGCCATTAGAAACCAGGAGGCCCCCCCCATAATCCCACCTGTTGGAGGCCCCATCTTCCCACTTGTTGGGCCCCCCCCCCAAAAAAAACTGCGTCTATTGAGTTTATCTAGCTGTTCAGGCAACATCTCAACATCTGTGCAGGCTTGGAGGCCCTCTGTGCAGGTTAGGAGGCCCTGTAAAAGTGGTCATCTCTGTGAGTATAAGAGACCTCCAAGTTATGAAAAGCTTTACCAATCTTCTAACAAAGAAGTCTTCTCAGCTAGTCTTCTAAGAAATAACTAAGTGGGTAGGTTAAAAAAAAACTCATCGGATTTCGGCCACTTTATTTTCAGGAGGCCCCCTTTTCAGCTTTTTAACTTTTTAACTTTTTATTTTATTTTTGAAAAAAAAATCGGCCAAGGGGGGGGGGCCATGGCCCCCATGGCCCCCCCCCCTTGTATCCGCGCCTGGTTCTGAAGCTATAGTCGACGATAGGAGGGGAGAGTGCGATATAATCGCCGTCGAAATCGATGCCGCGAGACGGGAGTAAGGGTTTCAAATTGATCGGGTCGCCCGTCTCGCAGTAAGAGCGGGCCTAGTCAGCCGATTCAGACCACCCGAATTCAGTAGAGCCCAGAATGTATTTTTTTCGGCGATATACACAAAACCCGTGCACCGACATCGTGCACACCTAGCAAACAACAAGAAGCCGGTCGAGACGTCTCATTTGATACAACCAACTCTGCCCTGCGACATGCAAGTGAGCCGCAAACCGCGAACATCAATAAGATGGGTTTGCTTTATTTATAGGAAGATGTAACCGAAGCCCGTCATCCCCATCCCATCCCATGGGCAGGCCATAGTTATTGCAAGACATACCTACACCACACAGAGCAGCTACACGCAATATCTAAGAACTCACCTCGTCCGTCCCTCGCGGTCAGTCAGGTCCTGGCGCTGGCCGTGGTTTGAGTTGAAGTCGATTACAGCCATCCTCTTCCGCGTTGTGAACATCGGCGGCCTGCAAAAAGGTGCATTCCTTGCATCATACTGCGCAAGATCCTAAAAAACAGCCATGTGCATTCTTAATACCATGCATATTGCATAGCACACGAAAGCAGGCAAACATAACTGTTTGAAGTTGAATCAGTTTCCAACCGGCTACCCAATATACGTTGTCTTCCTACCATCGGCCTGCGCTACATCACCTAGACCCCAGAAACATACACAATACAGTAACAACTTTCGCGGCGCATCAGAACGACGGCGACCAGCCCGAAAAGTTGAACAGCACTGTCACTATAGCAACATAGCAAGACTATTATAACACCATTCGTCGGTGACGGTAAGATCTGTGGTCAGCGAACTCACTCGTTCTGGATGCACTGTGCATGCCATGGGTCTGTAAGCACTTGTTAAATAAAACCTGGACAATTTACTAGAAATGCACATTGCACATGTACCTCTTACTCACCAGAAGAACAGCTGCTTCGGCGTGTAGACCAGCGTGAGGCCGTGGAAACTTTCAACGAGTCCCGTGTGCCTGAAGGAAAATGAAATCATCGTCACAAACGAAAAAAAAAAAAAATAGAAGTATTCGCAACAACTTTGCAAAACGCAACACACCAACTATGCATATCTAGGGTTAATCTCAAAGGTTTTATTAAAAAGGAGGTTTGCATACGAAATGGCCTTTCAGCTCCAGGACACTTAGATCGTATCGCTTTTATATGGTCAAAAACGTACTCAAGCAGGTCCAAAGGCTGCCAGTAGTCAAACATTATGGGTTGCGTTACCCCTCGCAATCCCATCAAATTGAGCAAAAGCCTGAATTACGGCTCATCAAAATTTTGTCCCACGAAGGGTTGCCTAGATCCGATTCTGAATTCCAATACATTAACCCGCGCACTGCCGGGGGTCTGAGCCACCATCGCATTGTGGGGGGGGGGGGGCTCAGCTCAAGGTCATGACCTCACCGAAATAGGTCATGTTGCATATCATTTGATGCGCATCGACGAGACAAATGCAATGAACGTCGAACGGAGTCTCTATCTCAATTCAATCTCAAGTTATTGCACAAAAACCGTTGGTGACCTCCGGTGACCTCGGATGACCTTTTAGATCTTTCAGGTGATATATTCCAGTTGAACCATCAACAGGGACCAATAATATCACGTTTCTGTGCATATTGAGGGAATTGGGTGGCATTCAGAAGGAGTTGAAATTTCTCCCATAGACTTATAATGGGGAGGTCAGAAAAATGACCTGACCTTAGGTCACCGATATGAAAATTCCGAGATATACGTTTTGATGATGTTCATACCCTTCTTCCATCCTGTGAGTTTCAAACTGTTCCATTCACTGGTGTGGCCATGGCGCACTCACAAAGTTGAGAAATCACACTTTTAGGTCACTTCACTTAAACTGCTCTGGTGACCTGACCTCAGGTGACCTGGGGTCAAAATTTTCACACAATGTGCGGAAATGTTGGGGAAACAGGTATGCAAAATTTGGCGGCGCTGCGCGCCGCCGTTTTTCAGCTATCGCGGAAAAACCTCAGGGGGGGGGGGGGCACATATGTGCCCCCCCGGCAGTGCGAGGGTTAAAATTGGTTTGCGTTTTTCAGCGCGTCAGACCTGTGGACTTCAACTGCCCGGTCTCACTGCGCTGAGGAAACACCTGAAGTCAGCTCATGACCAGGGAAAGGTATGTGTGGAAATGTTTTGTTCCTAGTAGAGGTGTTTTAACCCTCGCCCATATTCGTGGTTTGCCAGCTGCCAACATACAGGGGTTCCATGGGATTTGGACCCCTGCCCCTCGGTCCCTGATCGAGCCCGGAAAATTCGAAAATGCTGCCCGTGACGAGAGGAAGCCGTCAGGGCATCGAAGTTGGGAGGTGAAATCGACCTCCCTTTCTTTTTCCTGGAACCGCCTATGATCTATCCCCTGCTCATTTGTAACCTTGTAATACCTACAAAAAATGTTAATATGTCTAAAAAAATGAATAACTACAGTCGTTTTGAAGATATTCCCGAAAACCTTAGGGGTGGGTCATGGGTGGATGAAAACAAACCTTTTTTAAACAGATTTTTATGCAAATCGTCTTTTGAAAATGAAAACGAGATCGAAAAGCGAGACTAATTGCATGATGTGAAGATTTAAATGCAATTCTCGAGGTGCTAACAAACCAACGTATTCTTTTCTATTCACACACTCTGTTAACCCTCGCACCGACGGGGGGCGGATATCCGCCCCCCCCCCCCCTGAGGTTTTTCGCGAATAGCGGGAAAACCGCGGCGCCTAGCGCCGCGAAATTTGGTATGACTATAACCTCATCAATTTTACACATGGTGTGCAAGTTTGAACCTCCTGGCTCCTACCTTTTAAGGTCAGGTCACCAGGTCACTTTGAATGACCCAACCTCAAGTCACTTTTTTGCAACTTTGTCACCGTGCCAGAGCTACAGTAGATGTCGGAGGCCTTTGAAAGTCGCAGGATATTATTAAGTCATTAGTAGCTAGAAAGCGAAAAAAACACGCGCAAAAGAGATTGATTTGCTTGCTAAAATCAAAGACACTGAAGAACAGCTTGTAAGGTCCAGGGAAGAAAGAGACGCCGAAAAATTAGAAAAGCTAAAAAAGGAACTTGAAGAATTAAGAGCTCCCATTATAGACGGATTAATTATCCGCTCCCAGGTGGCATGGTATGAAAAAGGCGAAAGAAGCTCAAAGTATTTTCTCTCACTAGAAAAAAGAAATGCATCTAATAAAAGTATACAATATATTAAAGATGGAGAAACGATCATTTCAAACAATAAAAATATCATTGAAGGCTTCTCAAACTTATACAAAAATAAATACAACAAAGATGAAAATATCAAGCCAGAGGCATTTTACATAACAAGAAATATATCAAATAAATTAAGCATAAAAGAAAGTATTGAACTTGACGAGCCCATTTGTATGAATGAATTGACAAATGCACTCAACACCATGAAAAAAGGAAAAACTCCAGGTTCTAATGGCTTCCCAGTCGAATTCTTCCGATGCTTCTGGTTGGAAATAGGACCATTTTTATTCAGAGCTGTTAAAAAATCAATTGATGAAGGTGAAGATCTCTTTACACACCGAGAAGGCATAATCACCCTTATACCAAAGAAAGGAAAATCGCCTCACATATATAAAGGATGGAGACCCATAACTCTTTTAAACGTAGATTATAAAATAGTTTCTACAGCAATTTCGAATAGGTTAAAAAAAGTCATGAGTAAACTCATAAGACCGACACAGACCGCTTATACCTCGGGGAGATACATCGGAGAAAATACAAGACTAACTTACGACATAATACATTGGGCAAATAAAAACAAAAAACCAGGAGTGATACTTGCTGCCGATTTCGAAGCAGCGTTTGAATCGGTCGCTTGGGAATATTTGAGCAAAGTTATAAAGGAATTGAACTTTGGGCCATATTTACGAGGGATCATAGATCATCTATATTTCAATACTAAGAATAACGCACGTATTCTTATAAACGGACATTTAGGCAACAAAATACACATGCAGAGAGGGATAAGACAGGGAGATCCCGCCTCAGGCTATCTTTTCAATTTAGCAGTGTCGACTCTTGCCGAACAAATCTATAACTCCACTAACTTGACTGGAATAAAGATCAACCATAAAGAAATCAGAATCAGTCAATATGCTGATGACACTATTTTATTTCTAGACGGCTCAATCGACTCAGTTAAAGGGGCTCTAGTAGAATTCAAAGAATTTGGAACTCAGTCTGGCTTAAACATAAACATGGAAAAAACACTGTGCATGGGGATAGGAGGTTTCAACGAGAATCAAATAAACGCAAGCACAGGCGTAAATGTTACCTTTGTTGATACTTTAACGATTCTTGGCGTGAAATTCGAAAAAGACTTGAAAGATGTATCAGATAAAAATATACAACAAAAAATACCGGCTATAAAACGAGAAATAGAGCAATGGAAGCGTCGTAATCTGACACCGATAGGAAGAATTACTATTCTTAAATCTTTGCTCATAGCAAAACTAGTTCATCTTTTTATGTCACTACCAAATCCTTCAAAACAATGCATCAAACAATTGGAAAAAATATTTTACAATTTTGTGTGGAACTGTAAAAATGACAAGGTGAAACGCACAAAAGTAATACAAGACTATTACAAAGACGGTTTGAAAATGGTACACATTGACTCATTTATTAAAAGCATAAAACTATCATGGTTACAACGCTATATGTCATCAAAAGCCGACTGGACGTTTGTGACGAATAGCGAGATTCCAGAACCAACGCAATTACTTACATACGGCACGAACAAATTAAACTTATTACGTGACAAAACTACTAATTTATTTTACACTGACATTCTGGATAGTCTCATAAAGTTTAATCATGAATATAACCCATCAGTAGAACAAATATTGTCAGAAAGCATATGGTTCTCCAATTGGACAAAATACGATACAACAATTGTCAAAAGGTGGGACAACAGTGGCATAAGATTTATATGTGATTTATACAATAATATGACCGGGAAAATATATTCAAAAGAAGAGCTGGAAACCGTTTATGGAATACAAATGACTTGTTTATGTTACACGGCTTTACTGCGTAGCTTACCAACAACAATAAGCGCAAAGGTGGATAAAGCATTAATAAATTATCCAAATATACCATTCAAAACTTTGCTTGTAGGCAATTGCAAGCTACCCAAGGTTGCATATCACACATTTGTTGAAAAATTAACAGATGAGAATAAAAAACTAACAAACATCTTGAAACCAAGTGGAAACTTGATATAAACGAATTTGAACAAGGAACGGTGCAACGAGTTACCAAAGACACAAGATCAACATTTCTTATCTATTTTCATTTTAGGATAATTAACAGAATTTATGCAACCAACAAATATTTGTCAAACATTGAAGTTATCCAGAACGATAAGTGCTCATTTTGTGACAACACCACGGAAACAATAGTTCACCTATTCTGGCAATGCCGAGTAACACAAATATTTATCAAAGAAGTTCTGTCACACTTGAAAAATAGATTCAATATTACCTTGCATATTAATAGTGTAAATTGGTTTTTGCTAACAGGTTTGAATAGTATAGAGGTGATGATTATCACACTTATCAAAAAATGCATACATAAATCACGCCTAAAATCAACAATACCGTCTTTGCAGATGATGTCCTACAGCCTTAAATTTGAAGTGAAAAATGAGTTCATCATAGCGAAGCGAAATAATAATCTTACAGAGTTTGAAAAGCGATGGGGTAATCTTACAAAAATACTTGAATAAAAATACATTCCAATTTAGTTGATTTGCAACGCGCCTGGTACAGAGGAGGAGATTGTCACACAAACACTACATACACATATGCACCTACACCGTCCGCACACATTCACATTCACCTATGCATAAATAAACATAAACGCCAACTCTCTCTCTCTCTCTCTCCCACACACCCACACACATACATACACGCACATGCACACACACACGCACACACACCCACACACACACCCACACACACCTACACACACATACACAACTTACGCATAGGTCTACATGTTATTTATTGATTTAGTCTTTGCGTATATTTTGTTTCCTGCTTTTTCGTACAATGCTGTTTTAGCTGATAAGGTCATCGTGGCTTCTTGTAACGAACATTGTGTGTCATGTTTGATAACCGTTCGAACCGTTCAATAAACTAGCCCTTAAGTGGGAACAACCGAAAAAAAGTCATTAGTAGCTACAATTTGTATATCTCGGAATTTTAATATCGGTGACCTAAGGTCAGGTCAATTTCGCGACCTCCCCATTATAAGTCAATGGGGGAAAAATCAACTCCCTGTTTTTACCACTAAAACGGGTCGGAATGGCCCCATATACCATACATGACTTCATATACGATCAACCTTCACTACCTTGAGATCTGTTTTGCTGTTGGGCAGCTGTGAGGTCATGTGACGTCATCAAAGGTCACCAAAGGTTTTTGGCCAATAACTCCGTACAGGAACAAGATACAGCCGCGTGGATGGTCTCATTGTGTTTAGCTCGTCAAGACGCATCGAATGATATACATGATGACCTCGAGGTCACGTGACCTGAGGTCAACCTTTGACCTTGACCTTTCGAGGTCAACATATATATCATTCGATGCGGATTGACGAGAGGATCACGATGATGCCCTTAGTTTGTTCCTATCTTGACTAATTCGAAAGTTATTCGAGAAAAATTCTCTCCATATCTAGCGCCGCCATTTTGACTTTTTCGACCCCTGTGACGTCATCTTTGACCTGACCTGAAAATGACCTTTGTAAAAATTGTAGATCTTGGCCGTGCGTATCCGATGCCGTTTACCGCTTGTCGCTATCTTGCTTCGTTCTCGAGATCTCAGGGGGGGCGGTCATCCGCCCCCCCCCCGTCGGTGCGAAGTTGGCGCAGACCCCCGTCGGTGCGCGGGGGAAGCTTCTTTTGTTCCTCAGAATTTCTTGTGTCCTCAGTGCGAGTACAAGGGAACATCGAAAGACTCTCTGAAGAAGCATCGTTCAAGGCATCACCCGAAGGACCGTTCCTCTGACCATCACACGCATAAGGTAATGAACTTAATTTGGACCATAGCTAGTTAGCGTATGATGGATCGTAAGCGCCTCGCGAATTTCGGCCTTGCCTCAGATTTTCATCTATGAAACAAACTTCAGAGTTGCTTCGTTGAGTCAAGCCTCTAATGCTTATTTGTGTGTTGGCTGGTAGCGCCCTTACTAGACTCAAAAAAATTTGCCGACTCGACTCATCATTCAACCTCAGCAAGCCCTGACTCAACTCTGACTCAAACAAGGAGATGATTTTTTCCCCTTGACTCGACTCATGACTCAAGCGGCTCAATGAAAATATGAGTCGACTCAAACTTGACTCAAATTTTTTGTTGAGTCAAGTGAGTTGACTCAAAATTGACTCTGACAAAAAAGCCGTTGAGCGGGGGGGGGGGGGGATAAAAAAAGTCCGGCAGCAGGGCCAGGGCGAAGTTATTAAGCGGGGGGGGGGAATGAAAAGCTTGTTTCTGGAAAGTTAGTCAGCTGACTCATGTTCCTAAATGTTTGACTCAACTCAATGTCAAAAGTTATTTTACTGACTCAACTCTGACTCAACTCAACGCCTTAATATTTTTGTCCGACTCAACTCTGACTCAACTCAACAGCTCAACAATGTATCCGACTCGACTCAAATCTGACTCATTTGAGTCAGAGTTGAGTCAAATTTCTGACTCGACTCATGAGTCAAGCACAACCCTGGTGGATGGTGTGGAAATCCGATGTTCCGCCTCGTGCGACCAGTACCAGGATCTCAGGAAACACCTGGCCTCAGCGCACGGCATCGATGCGGCTGTGAAAACGGAAACGTTCCGGTGCAGCTCCCTGGATGGTACGTATTTCTGCTTAAGGTGATAAAACTTACTATAGAATGATAGTAATTTAGGGTCGAATATGGGTGCGAAATAACCCCAGCAGTCGGCGCGCCCTAAAAGCTCCAATAAATAAACAAGGGTCGAATTTAACCCTCGCATGTGCACGGGGTTTTCTAGCATCTTATGTGTAGGTGGAAGGGGGGAGGGGACGGCTGGACCTGTTCGGCCCCTGATCGAGCTATAGCTTCGCGGAAAAACCGAGCATGTTGCCCGGGACGAGAGGAAGCCGATGCTATCCGATTTAAAGGTCCTAGATCATTGGTTGACATTCCAGGTCAAGTCAATAACACAAAAGTCTGGAAAATCGGGACGTCGTGTTAGAACGTCGTAAAGTGAGGTTATAGTTTGGGTTTTCGGGGCGCTAATCACGAATCTCATGTTAGTTTTATCACAGACGATGACTTCATGCATTCATGCCTGAAACAGACTCTTTCTGCAGTCAGGAAATCGCATGCGAGAGCCTATTCAAATACATGGAAGCACAGTCGCATCAATAGCACGCACCTCCCGCATGCGATTGATGCGGGAAGAATTAAGGCTGAAACAGACTCTTTCCGCGTTCAGGAAATATTCGCATGCGAGAGCCTATTCAAATACATTGTAATTCTTCTCGCATCAATCGCTTGCGGGAAGTGCGTGCGATTGATGCGAGCGTGCTTCCATGTATTTGAATAGGTTCTCGCATGCGATTTCCTGACTGCGGAAAGAGTCTGTTTCAGGCTTTATAATGTATTTGAATAGGCTCTCGCATTCGATTTCCTGATTGCAGAAAGAGTCTGTTTCAGCCTTTAGGCCAGGTCGGGTCAGGTCAGGTCAACCAGTAGGCGTAGTAGCGGGTATTCATAATAGGCGTCAACTTGTTAACTACCACTGACCAGTGACCAGGGCTGCGGAGTCTATGGATTTTAGGGTGACTCCGACTCCGACTCTGGCTTATTCTTGACGCCTTGTTCTTTTTTACAGCTCATAACTATTGTTGCAGTTTATATATGTGCCAAATATCATCTTAATCGAAGTTCAAACACTCGAGTTATGGTAGCACACACTTTTTTCCAGAAACTAAGTGCACACCCATTATACGTTTAATCTGTCCCAAAAATCGTCAGGCGCTTCTTAAAGGAAAAGGGCCACCTTTAACATGGGGATTGAAACTGAGATAGCCATCTTGTAGCCCGTGTCCTAAACCTGTTTACCTCCTTACGGCTGATTTCGGCCTCCATTCGTAGTTATCGGCAATTTTAAAAGAAAATACGCCAGGAATGCGTCCTTATCCCAGGAATGCGTTCTTATCCGACAATACAGCCACCCGCGGCGAGGCTTTGGTTTTCTACCAATCAGCTCCAACCAGCTCAGCTTTAACCAATCAGCTTATCTGACACAATCCGACGAGTCTGTCTTCTGAACGCTGATTGGCTTGAGTGTGACGTCATCGCTATGCCATCATACAGTAGGTGCCGTAGAGAGTATCAACATAGTACCAATATGTTAAATAGTTTTAAATACTTTTTCGCGAATTGTGCACTTCTGGCACCAGTTTTAAAAAGAAAATGAAAAATAATAATGTCAAAATGAAAAACAACGATATCTTCATATTTCACGAAGGTGGCCCTTTTCCTTTAACCAGCACTGACTACTGAGTTTCTTGACTTTGGGCTTTATACCAGTATTATTTTGCTTTCCTTTAGTAAATGAAGCTTTCTTTTGGTTTGAAGTCGCCTATACGTGGATATAGCGGAGGACCGTGTGCAATGCATCATTGCCAAATATGTTTGGTTGTATCCAACACCGTTACCCGCTTGGCTCTGGCTTGCTTTGTTTCGAGATCTTAAGGAGCGCAGGAATCCATCCTCCCCCCCCCCCCCCCGTCGCCGCGAAGTTGTCCCGAACCCCCGCCGGCGCGCGGGCTAAGGCACAATCGTTGAATTCATTCGGATGCTTGCTCTCTTTCTCAGACTTCCAGTCGTGGAAGCTTCTACACGAGGCCAACGCGTCAGTCGCCTACCGGATATTGAACCGAGCAACAGGTGTCGGTAGAAGAACCTTCGTGTGCACTCGGTCTGGTGTGTTCAGACCAAACGGCAAAGGCGTTCGACGTCTGAAGTCGCAGGGCTCGTCCAAGTTGGGTCACGCCTGCACATCTCAGCTGGTCGCGGACGTGGCCGATGACGGATCGGTGACCGCGACCGTGTACCCCCATCACTACGGCCACGGGACAGGACCGGTGGATCTTCCACACCTGAAGATACCCGCTGCTGACAAAGTCGTGGTCAAGGGTAAGTAGAGAAGTGTGTTGTTTGAAGTAATGGAATTCTTTAGAAGTTAAGCATCCATACGGATATGTATGTCATTGTCGATATAGGCTAAACATTTCTAATGTGCTTTAACCCAAGCCAGTCTGCGGCTTTTTACAGCGTCTAATGTGTGTATGTGGGGGGGGGGGGGTATGAGGTGGGGGGACCGGAGGGAGTTATCGCCGCCCAACCGTTCGGCCCTTGATGGAGTTAGAGCTGCGCCTAAAAAAAACGAGCATGTTGCACACGATGAGATGAATTGAGTGTAACCCAATGACACCCAATTGAAGGGTCCTAGGTCAACTGGTAACCTCAGAGTAGGTCAAACCCTAGAAGTCGAGCTAACCACTTACTCTAGACAGACACGAGATCTTGTGCGCACTTCAAGTTGATCAAGATGAGCAAGTCATTATCAGAATGGTAAAGAACAGTTCAAATTTCAAAATACCCGTAGCTTGATCATAACATTAACTTGACGTAACTTTCATATTCGCTGTTTCGTTCATTTCAGAGAAGCTGCTGAAAGGGGTCAACCCATCGCGAATTATCCAAGACATGCGCAGTACGTTGGAAGCGTGTGGGAACCCCAGCTCCAGTCGGGCATACTAGATCTCCCGCAAAGACCTAATCAACATCGCAACTTCACTGGGGGTGAACATCACGGGCAGCGCGAAGAAAGACAAAGATGAAGCTGTCATTTAGGGACATATTTGTGTTATGAGGTTATCGGTTGAGCCAACAAATAACTAAATGCACTTACTTTTATTGACGTTTCGGTTTCAAACAACCTTCGTCAGAATAGAATTACAAGTTACGTCTCATATTTCAAAAATGCACATATTTCAAACACACTGAGAACATAGCAGAGATAAATTCAAACTGCGTCAACACTGGCTATGTTTAAAGTCTTCGTGGAACGTGACACTTATAGTTTTTGTTCATCCTACTTGTAGTGCTATTTTTGCAGTATATTTTGATAGCGTGAAGAAACCAGCTCTCGTGTTTGTTGTCTCTTCAAGACGGATGAACGCTGCTTCAACCGCTCTTCTTAGTTGTCTGCTAGCGCATTCCCGCAAAACTGAAGCCCCATCCCACCTTGGGAGACGGGAAGGGGGCTCAAAACTCGCCTGACAGAGCACAAAAGAGATATACGGGACCATCGATTGAGTAACGCCATGGTTCTACACATGGAAGAGTCTGACCATTTACCAAGGTGGGATGGGGCTTCAGTTTTGCGGGAATGCGCTAGCAGACAACTAAGAAGAGCGGTTGAAGCAGCGTTCATCCGTCTTGAAGAGACAACAAACACGAGAGCTGGTTTCTTCACGCTATCAAAATTACTACAAAAATAGCACTACAAGTAGGATGAACAAAAACTATAAGTGTCACGTTCTACGAAGACTTTAAACATAGCCAGTGTTGACGCAGTTTGAGTTTATCTCTGCTATGTTCTCAGTGTGTTTGAAATATGTGCATTTTTGAAATATGAGACGTAACTTGTAATTCTATTCTGACGAAGGTTGTTTGAAACCGAAACGTCAATAAAAGTAAGTGCATTTAGTTATTTGTTGGCTCCACCGATAACCTCATAACACAAATGAAGCTATCAGCGCGGCCATGTACGCCGAAGAGCTGCGGTCGTCAAATCAGGTGAGCTACTACTGCGAATGAATGCACGTTGTGACTTGTGATGTGATTAATTATTGCTACAAAAGGGCAATTGTAATGCATCTGAATACCAAATGATTCTGGGTTTCGGGTTTTGGGTTATTCAGCATCCCCAATTGCCTTTTCTTGGCGGCAATATGTGGCGGCTCCATGTGCCAATGTGGCGCTTTTCACTGTCTCTATGTTTCCTGGAATCCGGCACTTGGAAACCGGTCTGGTCTGGTCTCATCTGGGTCCAGAGTAGTTCCTGAAAATTGTTTGATGGGTCTTAGTGGGACCTACCATCAACCATATGATAAATCATTCTCAACCTGATTAATGTATGAAGTGGATTAAAAGAACCCATTGATGCACACTGTGACACGGCGAGCTCTGGTTCAAAACTAAGAGTATTGGACCAGCTCCCTTCCTCTCCGGTGCCCGACCAAGTGCTCTGCCCTCGCCGCAGGCAAGGCCAACCCAACCGGGCCGTCGCGGGTTGGTCCCCACGGCATACAACACACATTTTTTTTTGGGGGGGGGGGACGAGTCCAACCGGTTTTGATACTTACTTCACCAGGTCTGGTGGGTTCTAAAAGCTTTTTGATCGGGTCTGCCCCCCCAAAATACCTTTTGGTTCCTCTTTTTAGCAACACCTTCTGGCCTTCAAGATGCCGGGTGAGACCGATCCGACAGGCCAACTGAAAGACGACGATTTCATCTTTTCCTTCTGCACGAAGTACCAGATGCATCACTTCCTGCAGCATGGGTCACGCGTGATCTGCATAGATGGCACCCATGGGACCAGTGGTGAGCATTATGCATTGCTTAGGTTACATAATGTAGATTGTAGAAATCAGATTAGGTCAGTCCCTCGTCTTCATTTTTTCCGCATGTTCTTTTCTCAGACCGTCGCCCTCATAAGTTCGAGGTCAAACAGAGCCTTGCTTTGTATGCGAGGTGAAAACAAATGTCATTGTCATCTGTTTCTTTCCAAAAACCATTATTTGAAATCGCCGCCTCTTTGCCCACTCTCGAGTAGCCGCGTGCCACTTGCGGTTGTGGTGGCGACTATTAAGTTTGTGCTAGTCCGGGTCTAAAATTACGCTTTCGTTTCTATAGGTACGCTACGCCGGTTCCAGAAGGTCCTAAACTAAGTGCATGGGACGCAGCGAGGCTGGCCTCAGGCTGAATTGACCTTGTTCTTTTCTTTTAGGACACGGCTTCCATCTCATCACCCTGCTGGTGCTAATGTTCGGAACACGCATTCTCGGGTAAACACCACGGCTCAGTTAACAATGTATTGATCTGTGCACATTACACGGTCCTACCCAGACTGCCCATCAGGCCGGACCAACTGTCCGCCAGCTCACCCCTGAGCTCCCCCGGTGAGCCAGCCGCTCATCCCCGAGGTCCGCCCGCCGAGCCACCCGCTCAGCGACTGACTGCTGCCGTTTTTTTTTGTTTTGTTTTGTTGGGTTAGGCCCTTTCGGTCTGACAAGACCATTGCAGAGCCGGAAGGATGATAGGAATTAGGGGGAGACATTGGTCTGGGCAGGCACCCTAGTGAGTCGCCGGGGCTGAGCCCGTCCAGAGGACAGGCCACCCAGCCCCAAGGCACTCACTGCACCCGGCTACGGGGTGCGCTCCCTCGGGAGCAGCGGTGCCGCTCCAAGGGAGCAGCCCGCATGAGATAAAGTTGCCTGCGCAGCCCGGAAGGGGGTTGTGGCGTGGAGGAGAAGGATTTCAGTATCCTGAGGATAGAAGCACGGACAGGTCAACTGCTGCCGGCGATGCACCGCCTTATATAGGGGGGCTGGGCGCCCGCCGACCAATCAGCGGCCGCCGCAGCCGCCGCGTCATCACCGGCATAGCTGCAGGATTCGCGGCCGGCGCCCGCCGCCGACCAGGGGCTCCGCCACAGGGGGGTACGCGGGGGTCCGGACCCCCTCAATAATTTCCATGGGGGGTACAGTACCCCCCAATATTCCGAATACCTGTAACCTTGTTTTGCGTTAGAATGACTAAATCATTCACAGAATGTGTTGAATAATTTAATTAGAATGTGTTAGTGGTCGCAAAGCTAAGGAATTTAAGATCTAGAAATGTAGGGAAACACGAAGATGTTGTGACACACGAAGTGCTCAGCAATCGCCGACCTATATTTATGGAAGTGTCATTATTCTACCATTTTGTTATTACTATGAATGCGTTTAAGATTGCTAGGATTAACTTAGCATGCTAGAATTTGGCAATAATTTCGTGAGATGGATCCAGCTTGCAGGACACCTCCTAGACACAACACCCGCCCCAAAAGAGCTTCAAATCGATCTGAGAACCCTCTTTCCATGTGAGATCACCCGATAGTGTGTGTGTGTGGGGGGGGGGGGGTAAGCCGGTCTTTCGAGCACCATACTAGTCTGAGAGCCTAATGCGCTGTCTGATGGCTAACACCACCCTTGGTGAGCGCGCAACAGCGGCCTCCTTTCCTTAAGAACGTTGATTTGAGAGGCCGCCATGTCGGTGTCATTGAGCTCCGCTTTTCGGTTTTCGACTCCTCTTGCAAACTGAACCTTTTTTTCGGTTCATAAAGCAAAATCCTCCCGATAGAATTGTTAAGTTTCCTTTGAACTCTAGAAAAAACGGCAATTTTTCATCGATTTCGGGAGCTGCAGGGGGTGGGGTGGGGGTGGGGGTGAGGGGTAGGGGTGGGGGTGAATTCGCCCAAAATGCCCACCTTGGATCCGCCAGCGAGGTTTTGTGTTTTTGGTCGGACCCCCCCAATCCCAAAACCGTGGCGGAGCCCCTGCCGCCGACTGCCGGCCGGGCGGCCGTGCGTCGCTCCCCAACACCCCCCCCCCCCCTACACATAGGAGAGGAGCACGGCCGCTCACTCAGCCGCCCCGACGAAGACCCCTTCCGGGAACCGGTCCATGATGGCCCGGTAGCCTCGCGCACTCAGATGGATGAGATCCCTTTCGTACAGGGACGGGTCGACGAGATAGTCCGACGGGCGGTTCCGCCTGGCTCCGCCCTCGCTTCCTCCGGACCGCCGCCTTGCCCGCCGGATGCACGTGGCTTTTCCCAGCGCCGTGTACGTCACGGGCTGGTCGGCCAACTCGTCCCGGACGAGGGCGCAGAGTGGCCGATCCAGCGCCCGGAACGCCGCCGTCCCCTCCCAACAGGCAGCCGGGTCGCGCCTTGGACGTGGCACGGGGCCGAGGACCATGACGCCGGACACCGCATGTCCCGCGGCCTCCTTCAGGGCGTCCCGGATCCGGGTCCGTTCCACGATTGACAGGGGCTGCGGAGGGCCTCGCCGAGGGTAGACGTCGTTTCCCCCGATCCAAAATGTGATGGCCCAGGGGATGCGGCCTTCGCCCCTGCACGTTTCCACCCAACGACGGAGGACGCCCCCAAGCACCGGGCATAGGCTGGCCCATGTGCGGAGCGCCGGGACGAAGGTCTCCACGTGCCACTCTTGGCTTGCAGCGCGCAAGTTCGCGCGCCGGACCATCGAGTCCCCGATGATCAGGTGGCTTTTCGGAGCGCTAAGGTGCGGCGGAGGTGTGGGCGCACCGCCCCCCACCGTGCCGGGCGCAGCCGGGAAGAGGTCGGACGCCGTGTCGACCGTCTGGTGCGCTCCCCACAGGTGCTCGAACGATGCGTCCTGGAAACCCTCCAGGATCTCGGACAGGAGGCTAGGAGTAGGATCCATACTGTGGACAAAAGGAATTGATAATCTCCCGACGGCATGCACATCGTCCCTGGCAACTTCAAGGGAATCTTAACTAGGTCCCGCCCTGATCCTGGCACTACCTTAAAGGAAATAGTTCACTTTCACGAAATTATTTTTTTTTGCAATGGATTTATGATTTTTTATGTTCAAAATGATCAGCAAAGAAAATAAAACCTATTTATAACAAAAAAATATTTTCTATATTTTGATATAAGAAGAACTTTTCAGTTTCTGTAAGGCACAGGCGATCCAGTATGAAAAGAGCATGGGTTCCGAAAATTCTTCAGAAACTAGAGAAATTATCG